GGATTTTTGAAATCAAGAGTAGGAGTTGCATCCAGTTTATAAGATAGACAGCTGCACTAAATGCGTAAGTCCAATATGACTTGGCATTGATGCATGAGCCATAATAGCTAGACCAGTCTCTACTATATGCCTATGACGTCTTTCAGCTGTGCCATTATGCTCAGGGGTGTGAGGTGGACTGGTCATATGTGAAATACCATTACTAGAAAGAAAAGTCCTAAGACCAATAAATTCACCCCCATTATCCGTGTAAAGCGTTTTTATTTTTGTTGAAAAACGATTTTGAACCAGATTTTGCAAATTTTGTAAAAACATCAAAGACATGAGATTTTTGTTTTAAAGGATAAAGCCAAGTATACCGAGTAAAATGATCTACAAAAATGACATAATACTTAAAACCATCGATTGAAAGAAGCGGAGATGTCCAAACATCTGAAAACACATAGTCTAAAGGAGAAGTAGATTTTAAAGAAGAAAGACTGAAAGGCAACTTATGCATTTTATTTGTAGAACAAGCAGTGCAAGGAGTAACTAACAAAGAATTTGAAGAAACAGGTAACTGAAACTGAGAAACTATTTTAATAAGAATAGATAAAGCTGGGTGTCCTAAACGTGAGTGCCAATATGTTAAAGAGACCCGCAGAACTGAAGCAAAAGCAAGAGAAGGAGAAGAAGTAGACTGCAATTTCGGCCATTCATAAGTGCCATTGCTAGGTTTTCCCTCCAAACGAAGAGCTCCCGTTTGTAAATCCCTGACCTGAAAGTAAGTCGGTGTAAATATAACCGCAGCATCATTAGTTTTACAAAGCTGAAACACTGAAATTAAATTCTTATCAAGTGAAGGAACACACAAAAATTATTTAAGAAGAAAGGTTTAGTAAAAGAGTTTGTTGAAAAAGAACCAGAATGTGTTATTGGTAATGCTCATCCATCACCAAGAAGCACATCGTCACCTTCAGCATACGGATGATGAGCGGAGAGATTGTTGATATCAGAGGTCATGTGGTGTGAGGCCCCTGAGTTAAGCAGCCATGTCGAAGAATCAGAAATCATTGCTGCATTGGCGCGAGGTCTCCATGACTGAACAGGGTTTGGTTGTTGCTAAGGCTGAGAAGGTTGAAGTTGTTGTTGATTTGGCCACATCTGGTTTGTTGTGGAGTCTGGAACAAGGCGAAACTGAGGACAGTATTTGGCACTATGTCCCTGCACTCCACACGCCTGGCACCTACCAAGATATGGTTTGGAAAAACGATTTGGATTGTAGGTGTTTGAGTTACCAGAATGACGGTTGTGAGACGAGTTGGTGTTGTTACGAGAGTTATTGTAACTGTTGTTGTTGTTGTTGCGGTTTTGATTCCTAGGTCTTGCATCAACAGCATTTGCCACCACCGGTGTTACAGCAGACGTTTCAGTAGTGAGAATCACAGCTTCTCTATTCACTAAGCGCTCGTACAGCTCGGTAAAGGAGATCGAAGAATCGCGTCCATGAATCGCATCAACTTCTGGTTTGTAATCTTCAGGGAGTCCCGCTAAGATCCTTTCAGTAAGATCTTCCTGATCCATTGGTTTACCTAGAAGAGCAAGGTCATCAGCTGTGGCTTTGATCTGTCGGAGATACTCACTGATTGTTTTGGTGCCTTTAACACATCGCTCTATCTGAAGTTTGAGCTGACGAACATGACCACGAGATGCATTACCAAAAGTAGCCGCAAGAGTACTCCAAACCTCCTTTGTGGTATTAGCTGTCGAGACAACCGATTGAACCGACAATGAAATCGCTTCTATCATCGAGCTGTAGAGAAGACGGTCTTGGCGGCGCCATGGGGCATACGCCGGATTTGGAATGATAATTTCATCACGAGTGATTGTCGAAGGTGGTGCCGTTTGTGTATCCTCGATAAAGTGATGAAGTTCATGGCCTTCAAGCAACGCTCGGACTTGTCTACTACACATCAAATAATTGAGAGTGGTGAGTTTTGTCACACCGGACATGTTGACAGAGAGTAAAGTACTCTGTGGATCTTGAGCGTTGAACACAGCAGTAAGTTCAGCTATAGATTCAGACATGTTGTGAAGTTAGGAAGAAAAGGGATGTTTTTTCTAGGGATTAAGAAATTGACCAGGAACCAGAAAGAAGAAGACTTGGAAGAAGATGAAGAAACCAAGAAAAAGAAAAAGATCTACAGCTCTGATACCATATTGAGTTTGTATAAACTGATGATTATTATTGAGATAGGAATTCTGTTTATATACAGAGGAAGAAGAGTGATGAACAAGACAAGAATATACAGCAATGAATGAGAATATACAGAAGTAAATGTAGACTGTGATTTTGGGATTTACTCAATCCACAGAATCTGTATTCCATATTCTATCAGTCCGAAATATATAAATCTGGACATGTATGTCCGATCTGTGAAGTTTAGAAGCTCTTGATGAAGAATAGAAGACACATCAAAAAACAAGTTTAGGAGCCTTGCCGGTTTAACTCATCTGCTGCAGCTCGAAGACGAACTAGTGACCAGAAGCACCGTCGCCTGTCAAACATCAAAGCGCCATCGTCACAAATTTTGAGGAATTCTTTAGGATAGACCTAAAACTTTTTTGTCACAAATATAGACCTTAAAAATAAAAGTGACCAAAAAAAACTTAAATGTTTTATCAAAAGTAAGTAAATATACACTATACCCTTTGGGTTAACTAATCCTAGACATTTTTGTTTAGAGTTGGAGAGTGGGTTTGAGAGATAGGATTTCAAATTTTAAAAATATAATAAAATAAAAAAATTCAAATTAAAAATGCTATTTTGGTCATTTAGTTTTGAGGTCTATTTTTGTGATAAAAAATTTTTAAAAAATTATTTCAGAGAATTTCCCTTTAATTTTTATAAAGAACATAAAAATAATAAAATATTTTATAGTTTTATGATTCCTTTTGTATATGTTGTGTGAGATTTTTTAGAATTAAGAATTTTTTTTTCCACATAATTTTTGGTTAGTCTTTGTATTTTAATAAGCACGGGTTTTTTTATGTTTTAAATTTACATAGAACATAATAATTAAAAATCATTTTATATTTTTAAGAGTCTTTTTGCATATGTTGTGTAAGAATGATTTCTGAACTAATAATTTATTTTCCCACATTATTTTTGGTTAATATTTTTATTTTAATAATCATCAAGCATAAGTGAATTCTTATTAAGTTTTTAGCTAAGGTTAGAGAAAATACTCATACCTAAAATTTTAAAACGAATCCAACCCGAATTAAGAATTATAGTGAAATAAAAAACTTGAAGTAAAATAAGGTCAAACGAGACAATGATAACATCATACACTTGTTTATGTACTAATTTTAATGTTTGTATTAACTTAATGTATGTTATTCTTATTGTTTAAATATATTCTAATGTTTTCTTGGTCATTTACTTAAATTTAAGTTGCCATTATAAGATCTTTGAAATTTTTTATGCATTTGTGATCATCTTTGGTTTACATTATTTATGAATCTTTTATTACACAATCATATAAATGTTTTTGGATTATCATTTTATCACGTAATTAATGATTATGAAACCATTAATACATGTATGTTATAGCTACAAAAATTTATGTGCATATGGAATAATATATTTCTGAATAATGAATGTGTGAATAACCGTTTATAAGAAAACATAACTTCTTAACTACAGTTTTGTTGTGATAAATCTTAAAATCAATAATTAATTTTTTATTATATGTTGTAAAGATGGAAGAAGGTAATTAAAAATCTGTTCTAGTAAAATTTTAACTATATGACATTTTAAATCATATATATCATTAGGAAACGTTATATAACCTTGTAAACTCAATCTCACCCTTAAATATGATGCCCTAAACAGTAAATTATAAATGCTAAACTCAGATGTTATGGAATTTTTTCTAGAAGATTGTATTAAAAGATGGTATTCAGGTTAAATTATTTCATACAATTTCTTTAGTTTTTTCCACATTGCATTTGTAGTTTTTCCTTTGTGTACTTTATAGTTATTTTCAAATTACCCGCTTCTCATTTTATAGTAACAGTAAAGCCGTTTTATTAAACTTATTAGCTATTAAACAATTTTCTTAATTCACTTTGTTAATGATATATTTTCGTAATAAAATTTTAACTAAAAATGAATTAGAAAAAATACTACATATTTAATACAGAAAATGTAATAAAATGAAGATGAAGCTTGATTTTTTTTTTTAATAATATTAAATAAGTTAAAAATATCTTTTTGTAAGGATTTAGAAAAAAAAAACATTATATTTTACAAATATCTTTTTTATTTAGTTTTTTTTTTGAAAAAGAAGAAAAATACAATTAAATAAGTTTTACATTTTTTTCGGATTTTAGAAAAGAAGATTATTATCATATAATCTTTTAAAATTATATTTTGTTTGGAGTTTCATAAAAATTAGATTACTATCAAATAATATTTCTATTTACTATTAAATAATTTTAAAACTATTTTTTTTTACAATTCGTTTCACTACTATTTTTTACAATTTTTTTTTTAACTAAATAATTTAATAATCACACATAATAATAATAATAATAATATTTTGATATTGAAATTAGTTTACCTACAATATCATAACCGATTTTATATTCTCGATTTCAAAATTATTTTTCTTCAATATTTTTCTTTTTTTATCTTAGTATATATATTTATTCATGAGATATATTAATACATGTCACAATATTAAAATGTTTTACATGTAATGATTTGCAAATCTATTTTTTAGGATTTTAAAAATAGAAAATTACTCAAATAATATTTCAAATTATTTTTAACAAAATTCGTGTTTGTTATTATCTAAATACATATATATATATATATATATATCTTTAGTTATGAGATAGTTTAACATATGTCATAATTTTAGATATATAATTGCCATGTCTCACAATTGTGCTAATTAGTAATTTTAAAAGAAGATACTTTCTTTCTCCTTTACTCTTTTGTGTCTGCTTTTATGATCGATCAGTTCTCCGAGTCTACTGTTTCGGCCTTTTGGGTTTTTAGATTCGAAACCTACTTGGGCTTTGAATTTAAGTGGTGAAAATTGTAAAAGAAGCCTGTGGCTTTGAATTTTGTTTGCAAATAAATCTTGGAACTTGTCTTGGAACCTTATTATATAACTTCAGCATGAATACTTAAGGAACATGTCTTGGAACCTTATTATATTACTCACTCTCAAATTCTTGTGACAAAATGTTGCTTACTTGTATCATATACAGATTGGTTTTAACAATGGTGTACCTATCGACGAGAAGTTCTTTATTGAGAACATTGGTGGCAAACACAACTCTGAGATTGCGCTAGCTCTCTTTCCTGATGATTTTGCTAGAGGGTTACAGTTCTGTGAGGAAAAGGAAGCTTACCGGAAGTAAGTCTTAAAGCTTCTTTTAAGGTTTGAGTTAGTTGAGGGATTAACTTTGTTTTCCACTTATTGATTTAGACTTGTAGCAGAGAAGATAAAGCCACTTGACGGGATTATAAAACTAACCAAATGGATAGAGGAACATGGACTGAAACGAGCTCCAAAAGAAAACGCAGAACTCATGATATCTAAACTTGGTCTGACTGATTTCTTCCAGGCAGTGATTCTTGGATCTGAATGTGAGTACCCTAAACCACACCCGGGGCCTTACTTGAAGGCTCTTGAAGTGCTTAACGTGTCAAAGGAGCATACGCTTGTGTTCGAGGACTCGGTCTCTGGGATAAAAGCTGGAGTAGCAGCTGGAATGCCTGTGGTTGGACTAACTACAGGTAATCCAGCAAGCATGCTTATGCAAGCAAAACCAGCTTTTCTGATCGAGAACTATGCGGATCCAAAACTGTGGGCTGTGTTGGAAGAACTTGATAACAAGGGGAGTTCTCAAAAGTCTTGAGTGAGTAAGTTCTCTATGAGCACCCTCTGAACTTTTACCTCTTTATCTTTGTTAAATATTCTTTTGGGAATATATAACAATAGGAGGTTTCAAATAATTGAAGATGTATGAACATGTTTTGTATGTTTATATTTAGTACTAAGAAAGTGTAGAACTGTGACATCTAAGGTCTTATCAGATCCAAAAGAAATAAAACTAAGTGATTAATAATGATGCAGTCCCAGGCTAGTGTTCGACTTTCTCTATTGTCAAAAAAACATGCACCTGCTGTGCTGTTGGAGATTTTATACATAACAAGGTGGTTACCCTGTACTTTTGAAAGTAAAAGATTGATTTGCAAACAAAAAGAAAGTTGGAGGGCTTCTTTTACTATTTTCACAATTTAAAATTCAAGCCCAAGTAGGTTTCCAATCTAAAAGCCCAAAAGGCCGAAACCGAGTTTTATGCTGTGACTGGACTCAAGTACAAAGAAGAATCAGATATAGACTTCGATACTTGGAAGAATGATAAGGGGTTCTGAGCACGGTTCTGAAGCAAAATGAAAAGATCAACTTAGTGTGTACAAAGAAGGAACTCCTCGAAGTTTGCAACAAATGGACGTACGTGGACAGGCTGACGCTAGTATATCTCTGTATTATCCATGGATGCCTCATTGCGAAGGATGAGAAAGTGCATATCCCTCACGAATACATTCATCTAGTGATGGATTTCGAGAAAATGAGGAAATATCCTTAGGGTCTTTATGCGTATGATGAGTTGCTTGCATCAATACTCAAAGCAAGGGATACATATGAAGAACAGTTACGTGCTGGATGGATTCTCTTATGCGTTTCATATTTGGGTTATGGAGGCAATCCCAGACATTGGTACTATGGTGGGCAAAAAGCTCAAACAAAATGTCACCGAAGTAAGATGCATGAATTGGAAAGGAAGTAGAAAAATATCTTATCAAGATATCACTAGCCTAGAGTCCCATTTTGATAAGATAAATATTTTTTTTTTAATATTCAGTTCAATTATCAAACAAATGCTTACTGTTTGGAGTTGTTCTTGTCAGGGAGTGTTGTTCACATTTATAGATCTTACTGGGAACTCGAGAGTGATTGATGATACTGCTTACTTTAGAGAAGATGTGAAGAATGGCGAAAGAGTTGGTCGTGTTGTTTCTCTGATAAATGTGAATCAAGACTGGACGCAATTCACTTGGGAACTTGAGGTGAAGCCTCAAAATTTCATGTTATCTGATTCAGAAGAGCATGTAGAAGACGAAGCTGCCCCAATATCTCCTGTGAAGGAACCGGCTGTTTCTGTAAGAAGGGGGAAGCGCAAGATAAATGATCCTGGTTCCGAGTCTAGAAAGAACCACATGCTTTGTCAACGGGTGGCTGAACATAACAGTGGTGTATCAAGTGAAATGAAGACTTTCATGGAAGGTTTGTTGATCTCTTCTTTCACCTCTTTAAAGGAAGTGCTGCAGAAGGACATACAAGAGAAATTTCAATAAGGTCAACAATGAGATAGATCAGCTGAAGGAACAAATGTCTCACCTTACGGGTCCTTTAGATAGAGTGGGAAAAGATACAACAACTAAGACTATGTGTCCTTCAGGAACAATGGGAAAAGATTAAGGCAAAGCATCTGAGACTCCGGGTTCAGGCAAAGCATCTCAGAGTACGGGGTCATGCAAAGCATCTCAGAGTACGGGCTCATGAAAAGCATCTCAGACTATGGGCTCAGGCAAAGGATTTCAGACTCCAGTTTCCCCAGTAGCAAAGGAAAAAAGCAAAGGCAAGCAGGAAAGAAGCAAGGATCCTCCTACGGTTTGTCGCAGCCCTCGGCCAGGAAGAAAGGTAACCAGAAAATGACGCAAAGTAAAATGTCCAACGATCTCTATTTTGTTGTAAGTTATGTGTTTGACTCTTTTGTAATGTGTGTATCTTTTTCTATGTGGCATATCGGCTTGTAAGTTGACTGTTTTGTAAAACTTATATATTAATGGGATGTTTGATTTTATAAACAGGATGATCAAAAATAAGCTGATGGATTTTTTGGCGAATTTGTCACAATCATCAAAAAGCAAAAAAACATATGGGGACACAAGAGGTTTTACAAGAGGTTATGAGTCACCTTTTTCAAGCATCACATGTTAAAGATTTTGATCCCTCACAAAAGCTAAAGGACGAAGAACCTATTGAATATGTGACTCCATTATCTTCATTCAAGCCTGCTGATTGGATACCACCTACACTAAAAGACACGAAACTGCTTGAAGACCGGGTGGATGATGACGATTACTCTTTAATGTTTGTCCCTGAGGATTCATGGGATAAAGTGATTGCTTGGACCTCAAGTAATACGTAAGTTTATGATTTTTCTCAATATTTTTACAACTATCACATTTTAATTTAATTTAACTTTGCATCGCAGGCATCTCAAGATTGGACCTTCGGTGTGCTCACCTGAGCTAATATTACGTGTAATAGGACCTGAAGTGTGGTTGAAGAATTTCGTGAGTTTTGATTCAATCTTACATGTTCTTAAAATTGGACCCTCATTGTGCTAAGTGACACTCTTTGAAATTTTGCAGGAAATTGATGCTATGCTATATGCCTTCCGTGAGAGGAGTAGATGTGACGTAAATAAAGTAGCATTCATGAGCTGCATATTCGGTAATCAAGTGAAGACATCTTATTTACAGTTGAAGAAAGACAGGAAAAATTTCAAGGTAACTGGAGTACTGCATGAATACGACATTGGTGAACTTCCAGCACACAGACGAACAAGAAAAATGTGGGATCTTGATGTTGATCACATGTATATACCTCTCAATGAGGGAGATGCCCACTGGATCTCTATGTGCGTCAACTTCGTCACTCGTTCTATAGAGGTCTTTGACTGTGAGGGACTGAAATACAAGAGCGAAGTGGAGCAATTTACCGTTCTCATCCCTAGAATTGTTAAAGCTGTGCAGTCTTCAAATAGTAAGCTACACACCGTCAAGGCATATGATGTCAGTTACGTCTCAATGCCCTTGCTAAACAAAAGTCACAATGATTGTGGAGTCTATGCGTTGAAGCACATTGAATTCCATCTTCTAGGGTTAGACTTATCATTGGTGAATGACGGTAACATTCGTGAAGCCCGTCAGAAGATTGCTTCTGACATATGGGAAGCAGCTAATGATCTTGAGTTTATCTTAAGAACGTCAAAGTTCACTCCTCCAAAGACCTTCTCAAGTCCAGTAGTGGAGATTGAATGAAGTTCATTCAAGTAGTAGTTGTTTAGGAAACAGGTTGTTAAATGAAGTTCGAACAATTAGGAGTTGTTTAGGAAGTAGGTTATTGAAACTCTGTTATTTTAGTTTATTTGAATCTCTTAATTAAACTCTTATACCTTATATGTTATTATAAAGTAAACTAGACATTAAACAATACCGATCTCTTATATATTGTTTCTTTTCATCAAGATCTTATCAACCCTAAAGCCATACCGTAAACAATAACAATCACTAGACGATATCATTGTTTTGAATAGCCAAACCCTCACCCGGCCCGATTAAAGAAATAAAAAAAATTGATGTTACAAGAGGAACTCGAACCCATTACCTAATGAATGTTTTGCCATATTGTATTCCACTGACCTAAAGCGAATCGTTGCTTTGTGTGGATGAAAACAAACATTATTCTTCGCCTGCTCTGCCCTAATTTGGGAGAAACTTACATATATCATATATCCTAATTTGCCCACTTTTCCTCATCGTCTTTCTTTCTTCTTTTCAAAAAGCATGGCGAACATGAACAACATTGGAGGAATCCCTCGCAAATGCTGGTGTGGGAGGGGGATTGTCACTTACGTTTCAAAAACAGAGGAGAACCATACCGACAGTTCTTCAGATTTGAGATTGCTTTACAGGTAAGTGTGATATATAAGTACTTATCAGTTCTACTATGTTCAAACTTATTTTGTTTTCTGTTCTGAATCAGAGAAAGAAAGAATAACATCTTTTTAAGTGGGTGGATGATGCTCTGTTTGAAGAGATTCAAAAGATGGATGACCATCAAGCGTTCATGGTAGAAGAAATTGAAGATCTGCGTATTTCGTTGAAGATGGTGGAAGAAGAAGTTATGAAGCATAAAGCCTCGCAACATGTTGGTTGTGTAGGATCCATTCTCAGTATTTTATGTCTCTGTTCCAAATTTGATTGATATTTTGTAATGTTTTTCTAATTCTATCTACATTGAATAAGAATAAGTAATTGGATTTCCAGTGTTATTGCCATGTATCAAACACATCTAAATTCAAGATAAATCAAAAGCATTGCTAAAACCAACATGAAACAAATGATAAATATGAAAGATAACTTGCAGAAAGCCAAACTTGCATAAAACTGCATGAGAAAAACAAAAAACAGAGATTTATGCATAAAAAAGCATTCAAGAAAAACAGAGTTTTAAATGAAATAAGAGAGTTGAACATGAAAGATAACTTGAAAGGACAAAAGTCCTATATTGCTCTAATGCATCTTGACCTGTTGTGACATTCAATACCACATCGATTGCATTTGCGACGTTTAGAGCCTTGGATTCCTTGTGACGAACGGATCTTGTCTTCAACTATCACGTATCTGTGTTTTCTTGCTTGTCTAGTCTCTGGAGGAAGGACCGTTGACTGGAGGAATTCAAATGGGACACTCCATGCATCTTCCGGGATACTTATAGGATTTATACTTTCTTTATAGATTGACTTCCATGAGGCAGTGGTGTACACGTCGTCAGTGAGTGTGTGTACTTGTATCCCTACACTAAAACCTCCTTTTAAAGCGTGCATGCATGAGATTTTCATCAAATCGAACTTCCCACAACTACATGAGCGTCTGGCCAAGTCAACCATACAATCAAAAATGTCACCTTGAACCAAAAATATGTCCTAAGTAGTTGGGAACACCCTAAACTTCTTACCCTTCTCAATCCTCTTCTCCACAGCAATGGTCAGTGGCTGCGGATGCTTAGAATTTAAAGTTCTACGCTGAAAAAATCATCGACCCATCATCTCCCTTTTGCTGTCTAACAAAGGTATAACCAGAAATTCTTTTGGCGAACACAAAGCAGCATTTATGGATTCAGCAGGGTTAGTGGTCCTGATATTATACCTGTAACCCGTAAAAGAAAAACGAGCCCACTTTCTCACATCAGCTTCTATTAGGTAGTTTTCTATTAGAGGATCAATGGACCAAATAACACTGAAAATCAGCAACTCGATAAGCTTTAGAAGCTTTTTGAACCAAACCATCAAGGCCTTTCCCCTTGTAACTTGTTACAACATTGTTGATTAAGATGAATGCAAATTCCATGATGAGAATTCGGATACACGTCCAAAAGATCTTTAGCGATTGAGAGGTTCCTATAAGAGACAAAGCTAAATCGTTATCATCATCAATGATAACTTTAAGTTGTCACATAAACCAGTCCCAGGAGCGGTGATTCTCTGAGTCGACAACTCCAAATGAAATAGGATATATATTTGAGTTTCCATCTAAAGCAGTAGCAACCAATAATACTCCTTTGTATTTGCTTTTCAAAAAATTCCCATCCAAAACAATAACTTTCCGAATGGCAGCATGAAAACCGTGAACAGAATGACCATATGAGATAAAAAGGAATTTGAATCTCCCATTGGTATCGGTTTCATAAGTCGTGTGTGTTCTTGGATTAGCTTCCTCCATCATGTGCAAGTTTTTGGGAATTTTGGCATAACCTTGCTCAGGAATACCTCTCACTATGTCTATTACATACTCACAGAAATCCCATGCTAAAGAGTAGGATACCTCAACTCCATGCTCAGAAGGCATATAGCTGATGATTTCATTAGGTTTCTGTCCTTCCGTAACGCTTTCATACTTGTGCATTACGAGGGAACCAACTGTTTTTGCTGAAGCTGTGCGAACATAATTGTTCCTGGATGATGACACTCAAGTATGATCAGGTACATACTTTCTGATGATAAAATATGAAGACCCTGTTAATCCTTCCGCACGAACACGCCAGCTGCAATCATAATCTGCACAACGAATGTACCAAATTTTTTGAACTGATTTGGCAAGCTTGTAGTCGAAATTGTGTTTCATTGCGCAGATTTCTAGTCTCGCCTTTAAAGCCAATTTGCTAGTAAAATGTTGACCCTTCTTCACAACACCAACCAAAGAAAATCGGACAGGCTTTCCATTGATCATGTCTTGGTCATCCTTTTCCTCTAGGTTATCATCTTCTTTTTCAGCCATGGTTTCACCATCAATACCATGCGCCACATGCCCTTCCTCTGTCTTAGGCGACTCAGTAGCGCCTTCTTCATTCAAGTAAAATTCGACATTGATATTCTTTGTCTCCACCTTAGATCGAGCACACACACATAACCGCGTCGAAGCTCTGATTTTCATATATGTACGAAAGTTTTTGAGTTGCCTATCATTAGTGATGAAAACAGGTGACAAGTTGATGTTATTCATCA